ACGAAAGAGAGGGAGAGACAGCGAAAGAGAGAGGGAGAGACAGAGCGAAAGGACGCTTTTACCCCTCATTTTGACATATAAATTGACAGAGTTGGACTGTAGGACCCAATTGCAACTAATTGTCGAATTAAAGGATGTAATTGGCACAAAAATTAGTTCGCGGACCCAATTGCAACTGGGGCCATAGTTCACGGACGTCTACAGTAATTAACCCTAAATTAAAAGATTAGATATTAAGCAACTCCATTTTCTGAACAATCATTAATAAAAGATAACATTGAAAAAGTAAATTGGTTTTAATTTCTTTATCTTCCGGTTAAAGTTTCTCAATGATAATTTTAATCGAGTTTAATTTGGATTAAAGAGCATGAAACATATTTTGCTTAAAGAATTGAACCTTGATGCCTTAGCATTTCCATTATTGATATTTCATTTTTAAACTCAATCTCTACAATAATCAAATCAAATTACTTGTCCATTTTGCTTGTCACTTTTATTTTGGTACTTTTAATTATTTCTTTGTGTGCAGACATTTGCCTACCTGCTCTTTGAGGATACGATACTTGGACTTCCAAGATTATTACTACGTGTGACTACTTGCACTCGGGTAGACGTAACATAAAGCAAGCATACTATGTCACATGTCCACATCCAGCCAACCGCCACCGCCGGCCAGCCACTCGTCGACCACCCGCCGCCGCCACTGCGGGACGCTTGCCACCAGCCACCAGCTGTCGCCCGCAGCCAACCACATGTCGTCGGCCACCACCGCCTGCAGGGGACTAACTCCGTTGCCCTTTATTCACCTTTAAAAAAAAGATTTTGTGTCATTGAAGGGACTCAAACCTTGACCCTCAAGGGAGGACTCACAAACCACTGCACCAAACTTGATATTATAATATTTATTCAGTTATACAATATTTACATAAACAATCAATAATTTCAAAAAAAATCATTTCAACATATTTTCACACAAAAATTGCAAATAAAAACAGAAATTGCAACAAAAATATAATGTAGATATCAATTATGTTAAAAACAAAAACAAAAACAAAAACAGCAACAAAAACAAAAATTAATTTTATAAAAGCAAAATGGAGGAACCAATATGAAAGTACTGAAACAGAAACTGCAATGTAGAAGCGGAAATTGCAATGCAGAAACAGAAACTGCAATGCATAAATGGAAACTGCAATACAAAAATGGAAACTGCAATGCCAAGTCTGGGCAAAAAAGCTCAACTCTAGAGTTAAACAAAACAAAACAATTTTTTTTTTTATTCAAGACATGTTGGGAGAGGGGGAATCAGACTGAAGACCACCTAGAATGTAAAATAGGTTATTCATGTTTCTATTTTCTACATTGCACGTTCTATTTTCTGCATTGCAAGTTCCGTTTTCTGCAATGCAGTTTCCGTTTTCTACAATGTAGTTTCTGTTTTCTACAATGTAGTTTCCATTTTCTGCCTTTCAGTTTTCGTTTTCAACAAAGAGCGAAAAGAGATATATGCATACGAAAGCATCAGTTGGCTCGTGATTTTGAAACAAAGAGCAAAAAGAGATATATGCATACGAAACGCAAGCAACCTCCAAATAGTAAACAGCTGCATAATCCAATTTCCGCAAAATTAGCCAACATGGCAGTTAATACATAGCAATATATATCATCATATTGATGAAAACTATACGAATTCCACATTTACAATGGGTATTTAAATGAACTGAAATTAATACAAAATTTGACTCAACTATACCACATTATCCATCATTTCCTTCTCTACCAATTTCTCAAATTTCTCAGCAACCAATCTACAAAGAATGAATAAGAGAGAGAGAGAGAGAGAGAGAGAGAGAGGAGCAAAAACTTACAAGGGTGATCATCTCTTCAAGAACAGAAGTGACTTGGTCACCACTTTTGAGAAGAGCTTCATACTGCGCAGTGTCCAATTTTGAGTTGCCTTGCTCTTGGGTAGTTCTACTCTTCTTTTGCCCACCAATCTAGGTAGCCTCTACTCTTTAAATTGGTGACGTTGAAGGCCAAGGAAAGAGTAAAAATCCAATTGTAATTACCAAAACTGCAATGTAGTTTGTGCAAAACTGCAATGTAGTTTGTGCAAAACTACAATCTAGAACTTGTATAAAATTTCACTGAACTAAAGCTTAAATGGAATTGCAAAATGGTACTTAAAATATTATATGACAGTGATGGCATCAACCATTTCCAAATCAAGACAAATTCATAATAAGTTAGCTTTATAATAAGAAGTTGCAGCTAAATTAGATCATTGCCTGACATACATGCATACATATATTTGATCACAAACTCTCACATATCAAAGAACCCTAAGATTAAAGTCGTCCTTTCACTTTAGAATTTTGAAAATTAAGTTATATTTTGGGACAGGATGTTACAACATACATGAATTCGATGGTCCAACAAGTATCTATGATTACAGTTCATTTAGACAATTTTCTATTCTTCCCTTATGAAAAGAAATGTTGTAGCAATAGGAAGCAGCTCCATAAACCAAGAAACAAGTCAATACTATAAGAGTACAGACTAATAGTGTAGATATCAATAATGTAAACAAAAACAAAAACTATAAATAAAAACAGAAATTACAAACAAAAACAAAGACAAAGACAATGAAGATATCAATGATGTAAACAAAAACAAAACAAAAATGGAACAAAATTAAAACTACAACTACAAAAAAAAAAATTAACAAAAACAAACACACACACAACCTAATTTTATAGAAACAAAAACTGCATTGCAAAGTATGGGAAAAAATAAATATATTAATAAGTGAGGAACAAAATGGAAAACCATGATGAAAGTACTAAAACGGAAACGGAAACTTTTCTACGTTGCAGTTTCCGTTTTCTGCATTGCAGTTTCCATTTTCTACAATGCATTTTCCGTTTTCTGAAATGCATTTTCTATTGTCTGTAATGTAGTTTCCGAAAAAAAGAAGAGAAGATTTTGTAACATTGAAGATCACCCTTCATCTCTGAGAACTTGATTGAGTATAAAAATGTTGTTTCAGGTGAAAATTAGATAGACTTCTTCCTAAAATCCAATCGTCATTGGGGCTTAAAAAACTCAACTTAAACAATCAGGCAATTTTTGATCAAGTTGCAACCACACTAACAAAAAAACAAAAAAACCAAAAAGCAAAGCCATCATGAAAACAAGCAACTAAACAAAATCAAAAAGACATACTATTGATGACACAATCGTATAATTTCCATTAACTTCAAAAATCATACCAATATCCAATGATAAAAAAATTTAGCCAATTAAAATTAAATGGAAACTGCAATGCAGTGTGTAAAACTGCAATCTAGTGTGTGAAAAATAGCAATGCAACACATGTCTAGAAATTCACTAAACTATCTCTAACATAAGCAACCATAAACTAAAAAGGAAAAGACCTTGTTTTTCTTTTTGGGTACGAGGATACTAAAAGTCACTAAACCAAAAACACCAACCGAAACATAACACAGACTGAATTTATTGCAAAGACCTTCACTGCACTGGAACAAGAAGACTAAGAAATTGACAAAAAAATTTTCCTTCAAGCATTCTAAAACCAGGACCAACATTGATGATAAACAGGCTAATCAAGGTCTGCCTTGTTAACAACATTTTTTCATGGCGTCACAATTCTGCCATCAACAATAAAATTTCTAAAAATCCAAACATTTTTAGACCAAAAATATGTTAACTTTTAAGACTTACCTCAGGATAATTGCACCAAAAAGTAAAAATCAATCCACAATAAAAAGCAAAAACTACAATGCAGTTATTATTTTATAATAAAACTTACAAGGAACACTAAGACACTACCAAAACCACTGCAAAATAAAATTTAATAAACTCGTAGAAATAACACAAAAATCTGGTATGCCAATACCATTCATTCATCCATATCCCCCTTCAATCCACATTCTTGTTTGTTTAATTTGGTTTCTTTCATGGTGAAATTGATTGGGTGTCGAACTAAGCAAAATTTATCCAAGTAGGGAAAATAAAACAAAATATATAGAACATATGACATAGTGGTGCTTCATTGACACTCCACCAAACCCAAATCAGTTTTTGTTTCTTTCTTATTATCAAGCTCTTTCACAAAACCTCCATGTCAATCTAATAACAAATTTGCAAACTACAAAATTATAAGTATAGCTAATCATCCAAATAAAATGGAACCATAGTTAGCCCAGATAACAAAACTATTGTTAATCACTAACAAAAAAGCACCTCCAAACTCAAATCTTATCACAAAAGGCAAAATGAGAACAAAATCTACATCAAATACTTCAAAATCAACTTCTCAAACCAAAACATAATTACAAAATTGAAATAAGAATCTGATCTAGAAAACACATACCTCACTAGATGAAAAATAGAGCTTCGCGTGAGAAGAAGGAAGATGAGAGAAAGGGTGTCGTCGTTGATGGAGCAAATAAGGAAGAGGAGAGAGAGCAGGTGTCGTCGTCGTTGATTGTGCGAAGAAGGAAAAAGAGAGAGAGAGAGAGAGAGAGAGAGAGAG